TGCTCGCCGCCGTGCTGCTGCAGGGGCTGACGCTGGGCTTCCCCTCCTGCGTCGGCGTCTTCTTCACGGACCTCCAGCACGAGTTCCAGGCCAGCAACAGCGAGACGTCGTGGTTCCCGTCCATCATGGTGGCCGTGCTGCACGGAGGCGGTAAGTGACAGTGGCAGGGAACATCCCCAGCACCTCCTGCGGCTGTGGGGCTGACGAGGGGCTGTAACGGGGGCACCTTTAGCATTTGGAAGGGACTGGGAGGTCTGAGCAGAGCGGCTGGTCGGTGGCACACATCTCCCAGCCCCTCTGAGCACAGTCCAAAGCAAAGTGACCACAGACACCAAGCTCCCTTTTGCCACTCCAAGAGACAACCAAGACCCTTGGCCAAAGGTGGTGAGTCCCTTTCTCAGCCAAGCTTCTCCAGACCAGCAAGAACTTCACTATTTCCCGTAGCAGCTCTCTGAATAAGCCGGCAGGTAGCACCGCAGCTTGGGTGCTTTCTTAATTCATCTTCTGCCCACAAAAAGCTCATCTCCTTCCACGTGCCACATGACAACTGCATTCTTTGTGGCTGAAAAGATGCCAAAAGCCAAGCTCCTCCAGGCTGCCAGAGTGCTAAAAGCAGCTCCTTGGGCGGTGGTGTAGAGTTCGCACCCAAGCAGGCATGGGAGTGGACGCGAGCGTACCTGGATGAATGCAGACCACGGGGCAGGCAGCACGCTCTGGGTGAAGGGGATGGAAGGAGAGCCCTGTTTTGCTGATAGTAGAGCAAATCCCTGTTTCTTCCTCCAAAGAAAATGTGAGAGCTGCACAGGACAGGGTCCCCAGATCCCCCACCCAGACACTATTCCTGCATAGAAGAGAAAAACAAACCGCCAGCAGCTCGAGGACTTCCCAACGAGTAGTCTGCGTCGCTGCTAACCCCTCCACGTGCAGCTCCTGTGCTTATGTGATAAACAGACTGCCCACACCCCACCCAGGCAAAAGCAGCAAAACATCCAGCGACACCCACATATCTGAGCTGCTCCCGGAGTTCGTACCGGCTCCGTTCCGATAGTGGTGAGAGATGAGACTATCGTATGAAGGAAACCAAAAAAGCAGAGCCCTGAGTCATGCTGGTGCGAAGGCTGCAGGAGGGTCAGTGTCTCTGGGCAGGACTTGGCCGCCAGCCGCCTGCCATGGGAGAGTTGCACCTCGGAAGAAGCAGCTGGGTTGAGAATTGCAAGGTGCAGGTGGAAAGAGATCTCTGGGGAAGTGACAAGGGGAGGAATTATCACTGGAAGGTCAGCAGGGATAGGGAAGTGTCCTGGGGGCTTTGAATTTGGAAGCTGCTGGGCATTCCCTGTGCTGCCGTCCATCCCCTGTGGTCCCACTGCGGTTAGTGGGAAGGAGCCAAACAGGACCTGTGGGCTCTGGGAAACGGTCTCAGAAGCAGCTCGGTCCCAACATGTCCAGGAAGGACAAGTCTGGCAGTATCTGCAAGAAAATATCAATTATTCTATCTTCTTCAATGAAGCAATTGTTTTGTGGGAGGCTGGAACCACAGTCAGAGGTAATATAAACACAGCCAATAAACAGATCCAAGAGTTATAAATTAGACAAGGAAAGAGGAGCCTCATGTTAATTATATTCACTGACAGAATTTGTCAGGGCACCACCAGTGAATTAACAAGAGACTTGCAGCCTGGGAGACCAGAGGAGTGCTTGTAACACCAGCACAAACCAGGAAAAAACCCAGAGGAAAAAGCCTCCCTCTCAGGCCAAGCGTGTATGGCTTTGGCTGCAACTTCTGACCTCCTCTGCGGGGGGCCAGGATTTCTCTGATTCAGAGATTCCCGTTATGTCCATCACCTTGGCACTTAAACCCTTTCCAAATTGCATCCTGCTGTGTCACCAGTGTCCCTTAAAGCTGCTTCTCTCCTTCCTTCCCCTTTATTATTTTTAACTCAGAGGAACCGAAGGGGGAAAAAAATATTTATTGCACAAATTGGTAAGCAGGCAGGGAAATGGCTGGAGCAGCCCATTCTCAGAGTGGCCAGCGGAGTGGAAATGCCCCACGCAGGGAGCTAACCCAGCTCGGCAGGGCTGGGAAGGGAACAGGGAAGGGCACAGTGCAAACAATAGCTCATAACTTATTAAGCCAAACATATCTCATTACCCCTGCGGTGTTGCCAGGTAAAAGCAATGAATGATTATTTTGTTATAAGAATCATTTGAGAGACCTGAGGATCCTATGGCCATCTCCGAAAGGGAACTGCAAGAGTTCAGGCTCTTATAGGTTCCTGCCTCCCGGTATTCATGCACACGTAACCCTCTGGACTCACACTCAATACAAATGCAGCACTTTTGTTGGAATTATTTCTTGCAAAGGAAAGCACAAAAGCCCCAGGCAAGTGAGAAATAATGTTTGAAACCTAGAAAGTAAGTTAACAGGAGCAAATAATGAAAAACCCTTATGATTTTTAGAGCCAATCTCATTATTGTGGAGTGTTCAGTTTGTGACTTCTGGCTACTTGGGCTGTCTGAGCAGCAATACCGTCCCTAATGTCTTCAGCATTTAGGAAAAATAATCCAGTCAACAGTTTGCTGAACCATTTTTCAAAGGCCAGTTGAAGTCTGAGGTGAAAATCTCCCAAGCAGATCAAAATACAGACAGCTGCAGTCCTAATTTTAATAATGTTCCACTGTTCGTTTCACTATGTGGATTTTATTTCAAACCAGACATCGATTTAGGTCACAAATATGCCACAGGTTATTTTTTCCCTA